ACTGCCACAACTTAGCCTGACAGATAATCCTGTTTGAGACCAGCAGAGAAAGAGGGCCTTTGCTTTTCTCTTCATTCAAATAAAAGCCCTGTGTGCCCTGATCATACACAGCCAGGGACTATGCCCAGTAGGGCCCTTTGCACTGACAGGATTAGGCCTTTGTAGTTGAGGATTCCTTGTACCATGAGAAGGGTGAGGCAGAGGCATTCCCATTTGTCTATTTGACAGTAATGATACTAATAAAACTTAACATCTATATCCTGGTTTTTATGTGGCAGGCCATATGCTAAGTGCTTCACTGTGAATTGCCTCATTTACTAATAGGACAGAAAAGTTCCCTCTGACGGGCATTTTTCTCAGTGACTCCGGCAGTAAGATCACTAACTGAGAATATGGATGGGAAAGAGCATGCACTTCTAATGTTTTCCCCTCCACTTAATGTACTAATTCTTTAAGATACTCTTTATCACAGTAAGGAAATTTCTTTATATTACCCTTAATAAGAATCAGGAATGGGTGCCATCCTCAACATATAGTTTCCGTCTCTAAGAAGCTGGTTGTTCCCACATCTCTCTATTTGAAGTCAGAGAAAAGGGGAGATAGGGCCTGGGGTGCACATACTCAGTCCTGTATGGATGGGACCCTGGAGTAGCTAACATCATCTCCACTCACATCTCAAAGACCAAATATTAACCACAGAGCCACAGCTAGCTGCAAGGGAGGGTGAGGATTAGCACCTCACTGAACAGCATGTGCCCGGCTAAAACACGAACACTGTTGAAGTATAAGAGATTGGAGGACAGCTAACTACACAAGATAATCATATGCTTTGTTCCTTTAATTTTTTTGATGCACTACAAAACATTAATATATTTTCTAATGTTAAATCACCCTCTCCTTCCTAGGATAAATCCCACATTGGTCAGGAAGATTCTTTTTACTGGATTGTTGGAGTTGATTTGTGAATGCTTTATTTAGGATTTTGGCACCTATGTTTACTAAAGTATTTTTAAACTAATAATAGAAAATTGTAATACTTTACATGTATATGGTACTTTGCTGTTCCTGAAATTATTTCACATATGTTATCATCATGAGAATTGATGGTTATCAGGAGCTATTAAAAAAGCAGTATATAATAAATGTGTAAATAGAAAACATCTATAAATGGAAACTGCCTTTTCTTATTATTACCTAAACTCTAAAGGGCTGTCAGTGAGACTGAAGTAAAGATTAGGAGAGAAGAGAATACAGAGGACTGAAAAGGGTTTTTGCTCACAGGAACCTAGGAGGGAGTTACCAACCCCAACCCCGCAACCCCCAGAAAGCACAGGGAGGAATGGGGCTGCTGGCCCTTTAAATGTCCAGCCCTGTGCTGGTGTTCTAGACATTCTATCAATATAATGTTTAAACAACCTGGTTTTGAATTTATAAGTAAAGAATTTCCTGGTTATTAAACATTCTTTCTTAACTTTTGTTTTGATTTCTTATCTGCACAGACTAAATTAGGCCGTGGCAACTGAGCTCTCCCCTGGGAAAAGGAAGCACTAAATATACAGGGTGCTCCTGCTGCCTGTCTGGCGGCCAGGTCGCATACGTGCCCTGGTCACACAGTCTCCCGCAGGGTTAAGGAGCTTTTCCAGAATACACAATTACCTAACAGTGATCACCCAGAAGTATAAAGTGCCTTTGGGAGGGAAATACATGGCCGGCTGACATAATTTTGCAAAAAGAGGCAATTGATAACAGATTAGGCATCACAGTAAACATAGAATTGCCCAAATAGCAAGGCCTGTTTGTAGAGCTGACCCATACAAAATATGCTCTTCCCTGAGTCTCAGAGCCTCTGGTGTGTCATAGGTTAGGTACTTCGGGCAGCATTCACTCTAAGATCACTCAGCAGAGCTTTCAGCCCTCTCTGCCCCTCCTCAGCCCTCTCTCCCTTCCTCTCTCTCTGCCATCCTCCCTCCCTCCCTCCCTCCTTCCCTCTCTCCCTTCCTCCCTCACATGCACCCTCAGAAGCAATGACACCACAGTGTACCTGGGAAGAACCTGCTGGCTTCTCCTGAGGCTGGCTGCACATTCCAAAATGAAGCAAAGATCAGGGAATTGTCTGATAAGTCACATCGGTGCACATGTTCCATTGGAACAATTCGATCCCACAGTAGCTTTTTGCCCTGGACTTTGTGCATTGATCCAACTGGTCAGATAAGTCATCCAAACCTACTTTCCTTTGTGCTGTTTGGGGAAAGCCTATGTGCCTAAGTTCTTAATGACTATTTCTTCTGGGATAAATGCACACCATGCACAATACATAACCGAAAGTGCATGGAGAAATACCCCAGAGACCCATCTATTACTTACCATCACCAGCCCTAGAAGTTCATTATGAATATGGATGATGAATTCGGTTAAAGTCCAGGTGACTAGAACCTCCCAACTGCCATTTTCCGTCTTTCCGAGCGGATGTCATGTGTCACGAACATACAACAGTGGTATGAGCTACACAGGTCGTGTAACTAAGCACCTCAGTTTAAAATAGTTAATTATACTTTACCCTCCAGGAAGAAAAAATGTTTTCTCGGGTTCCTGAAAATGGATGATGAGTAGTTTAGAACTTCGTGGATGTCCAAGCTTTGGTTGCCTATTTTTAAACTGCCGAGCTGGGGTTTGAAACAAGCTGTTCAGTTCCAGAGCCCAACTCAGTACCATTAGGCCCTATGGTCTGTTCATATGAGTAGATAAGAGAAAAAAAGAAGAGTTAGGCTACCAGATAGTAAATTTGCTGAAAGCTTGGACAACTGTAATAGCCTGATGTGGGTTCAGCAAAAAGTAGGTCAGCCTTTCAGTGAAGTAAAATCCAAATAAAATGATAAGGGCACAAAGGTAGATCCGAATATATCTCAGAATTTAGGGTGAAAATAGATTTCATCCTAGCTGTCTCCCCTCTGCCATCTCATTATAAGAGCTCAATACATGTTGTGTTGTTGTCAAATCACATTTAGGTTGTTCAAGATTTAAACGTAAAAAGTAAAACTAAAATGTTTCGAAAAGCAGTTTTAAATGAGTATTTCTGTCATCTGTGGTGGAGAAGCTTCCTAAGCAGAGTCTTGAAACTAAAAGCCATAAGGGAGAGAATGATAAGATTTGACTACTCAGAATTTTAAACTTGTGCAAGTCTGAGCATACAAAGTCTTATAAATAACCCCAGATCCTCTTCTCAAAAAATATCTTATTCTAGAGCTTCGAATAGATAAGCTTTAAAAATATAAGCAAAGGGATCGATTAAGTGAAAAGTTATGAATCTACCCACCACTGAAATCTCTCTAAGATGGCCACAGCACCAGGATGAGCCTCACCAGTCCAGATTAGTCCGCAACACAAAGAAGTTATTTCTGTAGAGACAAAACCTGCTGGCAGCCTTAATCCCTCCCAAAACCTCAGACCACATGCAGCCATTAACCAAAGTAAACATGGAAAGAGGAGCATTGGAATTGTCAGTAAATTCTGCAGAGTCAAAATTCAAGCCATCAGTTTCAGTGATTCCCAGAAGTTGACAGCTAAATCTAAACACTGTGTGGCTTTGAGATTTTACAGCTGGGCCCATGCAAAGGTTTCTGGAATTTAAAAAAAAAAAAAAGAATATAATTGATGTAGCATACACAGGCACCTTTGTATGTCGTTAGCTTTTAAAGTATTTGTTTAGCCCCAGTGAATAAAGGAATCAAGGAATGTAGGATTGAAAATCTGCGTAGAGATCAAGGTCAAGTGAAAGCCCTAAGTAGCTTCTAAGAGATTTGCACCATCCTGGGCCATGGTAACATGGCAGTTTCGTCTGACTGGCCACAGCCTGTGAATAAGGCCAGCTTTAAGCAGCTATGGCGGTGTTTAATTTTGTCCCTAAACTGCAACATCCTCATTGTAAATTTGCTCTCTTTAATTTGTAGTGACCTCAGGGAATAGGATATCTCCGTTGGAAATGGGGCCCAGGAAGAGCTTTGTGGGCCTAAATTTGAACGGGGTGATCCCTGCGAACCTATCCTAGTGAAACTGATATTCACAGTGATGTGCCAAGTTGGTTCATTTGGAGCTGGTCTCACCTCCTTACTAAAGACCCCCTTGTAGAGGCCCCAGAACTCCTCACCGAGAGGCTGAGCCTCACGTAGTGTCACAAAGAATAGGGACAATGACCCCGATAACTCTGATCCAAAGAAGTTGTCTCTCTTGCTTCAAACTACCCAGTAATAGGGGTGTTGTGGTTGTGGGGGAGTATTTGGGAGTGGAGATGAAATAATCCTGGAGTTATCTATTCAGCCTCCATCTTCCCTGGTTTGGTATAGAGATGCGCACGCTGTTTACTAGGTAAAATAAGCAGAAAATATTTCTGAGACCATTTATTTTATGTTAACAGATCATGTTAGAGCTTGTTAAGAAACTATTCGGGGTTGCTTTGGGTACTCACTGCAGGAGAAAATTGACTTGAAAATGATAAGTACAGATCTGTGATCAAGTATTTCAGAGTGTCTGAGCGATGGAAAGAGAAAAAGGTCGCAGACAGATGGCAAAAAACTGCATTTGACCTTTGTGCCATGGGGTCAGAGTGCCTTTTCCTCTCTTCAGGGGGCAGGAGGGTTGTGAAATGCAACTTAGGGCTGTAAACTTGGACTGGTTGGAGAGCGGCCACCTTTATTTAGCAGGGTCAGCAATGCCTTGGACAGTTGAAGGGTAGGTTGATCATGACCTCGCTGCTACCAAAATTATGAGTTCATTTTAGGTTCTTTTCTCATAGTCAAGACAGCAGCATCTCAAAGTAGCTGAAGAAAGAGAAAGCTTGCTTCAGTTTCTGGCTGTTCGATCTTAGAATTGCACCTGGGTATTAGATCTGGCAAAGAATCATCAAAAATAATGTCATTGTGTGGGTGTATGTTACTTTATCCAGACATTTCACTTTTACTTTCCTGCTCTCTCTCCTCCCCTTACCCTCGTCCCTCTCACAACAGGCGTAGAAGACATCGTGGCGATAATGATTCCTGAGCCCAAAGGGAAGGAGATCGTCAGCCTGCTGGAAAGAAACATCACCGTGACGATGTACATCACCATCGGTACCCGGAACTTGCAGAAATACGTGAGCCGCACGTCGGTTGTGTTTGTCTCCATCTCCTTCATCGTCCTGATGATCATTTCCCTCGCATGGCTGGTCTTTTATTATATCCAGAGGTTTCGATATGCAAATGCCAGGGACAGGAACCAGGTGAGTAGCAAAAAGTTTTTCTAAAATTTAAAAATCACCATAAAAATAAGACATGTTATTGTATAAACTTAGAAAATCACACAAACTACTAAGACAAGACCAGAATTACCCTAGGATATCCCATCTCCGACACTCAAGATAAGCACTTAATATTTGCTGCATAGTTTTTCAGATCTTTGCCAAATACACATATTTTGATGTTTTATCAGTATTGTTTTATAAAATGGAGGGGCTTTGTCCTATATACCTAGTGCTCATCTTTATTTAGGCACATAATAAAAGGAGAAAGGGAACATGAGCTGAGATTATGCTAATAGTGGCAACATGGTTTAGGAAGAGCCCAAATTTCCTCCCTGTGGATAGAAGAAAAGGAAGTAAATAAAAGCTATTTTAAAAAGCAATTAATTTTTGAACAGATAATATATATACATGGTATAAATTTCAAAAGGTATAAAATGGTGTAAATGCAAAGTAATTGCCTTCCCATGTGTACCCCTTAGTTACCCAGGTCCTCTGCCTGGAATTTCTTCTCTTCTAGAGATATTTCATGTGCTTGAAAATGCATGTACATTCGTGTGTGTGTGTGAACAAATAATAGTACACTTAATTCTGTACCCTTATTTCTCACTGTATCTTAGAGATTAATTTATATCAACACTCAATTCAAGCTGCCTTCTCATTTCTAATGCCTGGATTACATTTCCTTTTCTGTGTATGCTGTATTTATTAAACCAGCTCCTATTGATGGACATGTTTTCTCTTTTTAAAAAAAATGTACAAGTGACACTAAGCACACCCTACTGATTGAATTTGGCCCTTTTTGGCCTTAGAAGTTAAGATTGGTTGTTAAGTCCTTTCTAGTATCTAGTCTAAGACCCCCTGACTCCGGGGGTTCCACAGAGGAGGCTCAGGGTTCTTCCACTCAACTAATCACCTCCCTTCTTAAACTCTGAGATGGAGAGCCAGGGTCATGACAGATTCTTTTTAATTTTGTTTTATTGATTGATTTTGAGAGAGAGGGAGAAGGGAGAGAGGGAGAGGGAGAGAGAAACATCGATTTGTTGTTCCACCCACTCATGCACTTGTTGGTTGATTCTTGTGTGTATCCTAACCAGGGATCGAACTGGCAACCTTGGCGTATCCAGATGATGCTCTAATCAACGCAGCTACCCGGTAGGCCAGGGACATGACAGATTCTTGACCTGAATGCCAGTGTCCACTATGGGCAGCCTCCCTTCCCCTCCAGGAAGTGAAGGAGCCATGTGTCCCTCACCCTCCAGATGTGCCACTTTGGCAGCTGCTCACCCTGCAGATGCAGCGAGCAGCATTCCTGCCATGGCTGTGGCAGGTGAGCCTGCCTGCTGGTGACGCTCGGGGACATTGTCCCTCTGTCTCCTAGGATATCCCATCTCCGACACAAAGACGGGGTCTGTGTCCTGAAAACCACAGGACTCTCAGTAGACGGCGGCAATTTCAAACATGGGCAGATCAGATAAATGATGTAAGGCTCTTTTTTGTTTTTCATAAACAATGTTGCCTTTGAGGCTAATCCAAGGAAACCAGACCTGGTTTGTGTTGTTTTATGTGAGGCCTGGTAATGACATTCAACCAAGCTTTCTTGAAAGAGGTACTCCTCTGTGTGAATACTTTTCCTAGTATTTGCGTGTACATGGCCCATGGCCCCTTGATTTCATTTGCACATTTGGTCCTAAAGTTATGCTGTAACAAGAGAAGCAATGGTATTTAAGACAAACTTGAACGCCACAGGGGAAGAGAGAGGGAAGGGAAAGGAGTATGCCAAGTGTCCCAGGGGTCAGAAATGCTTCTGTCTCCTAAAAAGTGACAACCAACTCGGTCCCTAATGTGTTCCTGCAGAAAGTGCAGAGCCCTCAGGAGGATGGAAAGGCAAAATGTATGTTATATCTGTGACCTATTCAGTGAGATAATTAGCCATTGATTTGCCATGTTTAGATCATTCAGGTCCCAAGGATCTTTGCCTCCCAGTCCTGTTCTGTGTGGGAGAAAATCCTGACCTGGTAAAACTGGAAATGACATGACTCCACATACCTAGTTTTACTAACGAGGGGAACTGGGGTCCAGAATGTTGAAGTGACTTGGCCAAAGTCTCACAGTTAGTGACAGAAATAGGACTGAAAGCTGGATCTTCTAACATGCAAGCCATTGCCTTCTCTTCTACACCACCTCCCACAAAAGATAACCCTGACGTTTCTACCTCATGCCATGGGTGCACAGCTTTAAGTCATCACTCTGTGAGGTCACCAGGCTGATTCTCTTACCCACTTTACTACATTTACGGAGTGGTGACGTACATCATAGAAATCAGCTGAACTGGCTGTGCAGTGATTTCTGTTGCATCAGCCAGGCCTGGAAAATTCATTGTTATGTATTAGAGCGAGTGAGGGAAGTGTCTGAGTCACCCGTGGCCACATGAGGTTCCAAATGCCTGGGACCAACTCTGTTTATGTTTACAGTGTCCTCTCTTCACCTAGGACATAAGAACACTTCGTTGTTTTTCCACTTGGTGGTGGTGACGAGAATCATGATGATCAAATACAGCTGTCAGTAAAAAGGGGCAAATATGATACAAAATTATCCAATCAGATGAGATGGAACATAAACTCGATTTTGATGCTGTATTGGTGTCCTTATGTTCCTAGTTTGTTTTTAATCATGTTCACTGCACGTCTGTTTATAACACAGAAGGGGACAAGAGGAAAGTGTCTTCATTTTCTCCATCTCCTAAGGTCACTAGCTTAGGTGTCTTGGGTTGAACTGGAGTCTGCCATTGTTTACCATCCTTGTTGGCATTTATATAGGACTTTCTTCTTTTAATAAATGGTTCTTTTTTATTTTCCATGAAGCCATTTGTCTTCACTATTGTCAAGGAACCAATAACCTTGGCAAATGCTTTCTTATACTCATTTAGATTCAATTGACAGATAAATCTAATTATTAAGATGGCCCAACTCCTGGTCATCTTTAGTGAAAAGCATGATTTGGATCTAGTAGGGTTAGAGAAAATCTGTAGGAGCCCCTAGACAAGGGAGAGGAATCACCCCCTGAAACAAAAGGCCTCTAGAAACTTGAGGTGATCCCTAAATGTATGAGGTGGCCCCTAAATGTACCTGCGGTGGTCGCTAAGTCTCCCATTAGCAGCCCGTTAGTCTGCATTTCTGAGAACCAACCACAAAGGAAAGGATGGTTTTTGTGACAGACTTCTGGTTCCAACCCCCAGATTCTCTATTCAGGCTCCACACCAGGCTCAGTTTGAGCAGGGCCTGTGGTTTTTCTCTCCTTTATTCTTGGTGCAGTTAAGAACCCAAAGATGGAAGAGACCAACTGCAAAAGCTACAACTGCTTTAGTTGGACCATTTCATTAAGAATGTTTAGGTTTTCACTCATTATCTCTTTAGTTTGCATTTTGGAAGTCCAGTAATACTGGTTAGAAAATTGTTGCAAGTGAGTCAGTGTTTTTATTTAGAAGTCAATATTCCTGGGTCATTTTTGTGTCATTTAAAGAGAAATACAAACGTGTGTATACTTACAAAATTTGACTACATTACAAAACTTTATGGTGCTTTCCCCTTTTTTGGTTAATCTAGACTCCTATTGAAAATAGCACTCCACAGTTTCATAACTATTATCTATATCTCAGAAGCGGACTTTTCTGTATTCCCCAAGGTATCTAGAACATCTCTGCCCCCAGCACGTCGGACTTTCTTATCCTTTGTCAGCCACTCATAAAATGTTACCCATTTCCTCCTGAAAGGAGGTGTATGTGAATTACCATCTGAAATGAGGTTGGTCTCAAGGCAGTCCAAGGGAAAGGAATACCCTCACACCATTTTTCCAGAATGATGAGGAAAACATGTCTTCCTTCCTTTGTGAGTCATCTGATTTCTCAGGACTTCCAGGGAGGAAGACCTCTTAGACTTGGTGTTGAGAGGACTTTATCATTTTCTTTTACACTCGAATTTCTCCATCTGCTAGTTCTGCTCATGTGAGAAGCCCATCTCCCAAATGACTTTATCCTCCGCTGAACTCCTTTAACCTCCCAGCCCTCAGTCACAAATGCCAGTAATGGAATTCCTCTTTCTAATCCCCTAACCATTAACTCTGCTATTAGCCATAATCCCTGATACCCTAATGTCAGCTTACATTTCCTGGATAGACAAACCATTTTCTTTTTGTTTTTTATAAATGCAGCTTTCATTTTCCCTTAAAAGGGTATGGAAACAGCTTTTTATTTTTCTGGAAGAGAGAAGGGGATTTTTTTAAAAACACCCCATTTTTATTCAGATATAACCAAAAGCAAAATAAAATACATGGACAAGATAGAAAGTAGTCTTTGAATTTACCTTACATGTTCACATTTTAAAAGGGCATATTTCATTTGTTTAAAAACTGATTTTAAATAAATTTTGAAAACATTATTTCTGGTTCACCTCCTTAAAAAAAGATGGTCTTTTTTTTTTAGTATAATCCAATACCATTGTTTGAAAATAATTTTTGCTGCCTTATTGCTCTGCTTTAAAAATAAAAAACAATTTAAGTGATGGAATTGGGGGCAGATATTATATAATACAAATTAAACACAATTACAGAAATATCTGAATTCATAACTTAAAACAATCAATACTTGACTGTAGGTCCGGATCTCTTATTCTAAATATAATATTCTACAGGTTTTCTGCATTTACTCCCTGTAGCAAGTAGCCCCTTCTCCATGTCTTTCAATTCTTGCTCCTGTCTTCTTCAATAAAAAGCAGCTCTTAGTTGCGACAGGCTGGATTTGCCAAGGTCAGGACCATAGCTTTGCTTACCTAACCACATGTATCATGGTTTGTCCACGTATTTTCCCCTTAACTGGTAAATTTCTCAGGTTGTTTTCCATTCTTAAAAAGAAACACATACACACACACAAAAAAAACAACAGTCTCTTGGTTTAAGATTTTATTCACTCATCAACATTAAGGGAGATTCCACTAGATAGTAAACTACAGAGAGCAGAAATTTGTGTTTTCACTACCATTTTTTTCAAAACCCAAAGCTTTTGAAACTGGGACGAAATATGTGATCTGAAATATGTATTGAATGATCCACTGTCAATTACTGAAGGAAGCTCTATTCATATTAATGGGAAGCAAACATAAATACAGCCCTGTCCTCAGGGAGCTTACATGAGAGAAAAGTAACTGGGGTTGATCTTTAAAATAGTATATGTTGTCACAGGGCTATGAAGCAGAGGGACAAGGTGCTGTGAGGGTGTAGACCAGAGGGGTCTTTTCTCCTAGAAGACATCTGGGAAGGGCTCCCCACAAAATGACTTGATTTGAGACCAAAGGACAATTAGTCAAAAACTAGAGGAAAAGAGGAGGGAAGAGAGTTGCATCCTGTTTAGTTTTACCTCAGTTCTTTTTTCCTCTTACACTATGTCCCCCATTGGTATTTATCATTATAGACTCTTCCTATTTTTCCTGCCAATTTAGTTTGCTGTCTACTCCTGGACTTCTGCATAAATCTCAAGTGTATATGGGTGTCCCTTTAGGAAACAGCCAAAGTTTACTCTCCTGTTAAAAATGACAGTGATTATTTTAAAAACTAAAAATGAAATATCAAAAAGGAAAGTAAATTAATGTGGAGAATATCTCCTTTTATACTTATTTACTGTAACCACTGTATGTATAGCCCAGCTGGTGTTGCTCAGTGATTGAGTGTTGACCTATGAACCAGGTCGAATACAGTATTTCTTGATGTGGGTTATGGTGGTTATATAGGGGTTTGCTGTATAATTATTTGTTAAACTAAACATACTTTTATGTATTTCCCTATACCCATACTCACACTTAAACATACACAAAGGAGGCAAAATTGGCATGTAAGAATGTGATGTAATAGGATAGTACAAGCTAAATATAAACCTACTTTGAGTCGACATAAGTAAAGGATATTCTTAAAATTCCAACCGAGTTACATGCCCTAGACTGGAATCAAACTCTGGGACCCTTCCATCCATAAGCCAATGCTCTATCCACTAAGCCAAACTGGCTAGGGCCTCAATTTATTTGGTGGTTTGTTTGTTTTTTGGAAATCTGTATAAATGTAACCTGCACTAATGTCACTGGACAGGATCTTTCCATATCATATGCCACTTGCTTAACATGGGGCATGAAGACCTTCTCTCTAATAGACCTCAATTACCAGAGCCACTTTGTTCAGATATCACCACCCCATCTCTTTCAGACATCATTAACATTCATGCCACTCGTGCATGATTTCAGATATAGCTGCCCTGGTTTATTAAATGTTATTAGAAGGAAAGTCAAGAATTACGGGCCTTTATTACTAACCAGCAAATTTGCTGTTTCAGCGCCGACTGGGGGATGCAGCGAAGAAAGCAATCAGCAAGCTCCAGGTCAGGACCATCAAGAAGGGCGACAAGGTAACAGCCTCTTTTCTTTGCGTGCGGGGCTGTTCAAACCAGCTCCTGGCTTTACTGGCCACCGAGGTGGAAGAGAAAGAAGGATGGGAAAGGGGAGATGTATGCTAATAGTTCTCCCATAGGCATCTGTTATTTTACCCATCTTTATTAAATAAATACTAGAGGCCCAGTGCACTTGTGCACGGGTAGGGTTCCTAGGCCTGGCCGGCGATCAGGGCCAATCTGTGGAGCTACTGGCCGGGCGATCTAGTGGGGGGGTGGGGGGCACTTGCACCGGCCTTGACTGGCCTGGGGCCTGTGGGCTGGGGGCAGCTCCTGCATTGAGCGTTTGCCCCCTGGTGGTCAGTGCACATCATAGCGACCGATGGTTCTGTTGTTCAGTCGATTTGCATATTAGGCTTTTATTATATAGGATAATTTCAAGCCCTTTATAAAATGTATACAATAGGACAGCAAAGTAGTTGGGATAGAAAATATGAGAAATTTAAAATTAATGTAGGAAGAGCAGATGAAGCCAGGATGAAATTAGTAGACAAATGCATTACCTAAAATGCCTAACAGAAACGGGCCCCAAATTTAGGTGGGGGCTTTCTAGCAGCCAATGCAAAGAAGGAAATCATATTCCATTTTCAAGCAGTAGCTAATTACCTGATTCCAGTGACCCACAAGATTTAAAAAAATAGTTCCTGTATTAGGACTTGATTCTTTGCAAAGAAGACAATGTTGTGTGCTGAACGATGTCCTCCACTACAGTAAATATAGGAAGCATATTTAGTGCCTCTGAAATCTGGTGTCTAGAGCCCCAAAGTCATTGTAGCAGCCTCCCTCACTGTAGCAGGATGACATAAAGCCAAAAGCAAATGCATGTCTAGAGGACAGACAACAGAGCAGTGCAGTCCATACCTGCGGCCTCTGAGGATCTCTCTTCGCCCAGGAGAAATTTTAAAGCAGTGGATTGCAGACATGGATTTGGAGCTCTTGGGAGCTTGTAAGAGATTCATGACTCAACATGTATTCCAGGTGGTTGTCACTAGTCTGAATAATTGATTTGTCTCCCTAATTATGTGCTGCTGTTTTTCAGCTATATAAAAATTCTGTTGAGCTTATTATGATAACATTCATTTAAAATCACTACTGAATTGAAAGTATTTTTCCATTACTTTTTCCCCTGAAACAGAGAATAATAAAAGAATAAGAACTATTATATAAATAATATTTTATGGGGTATTAAGGAGATTTTATACTTGGGGAAGAAAGGGGGAAGTCAGAAACACTATTTTAGCATTGTGTACATTAGATTCCTGAGGAATGGAAAGATTAAATATTATTCAGATACTTCTCCATAAATGGTATTTCTCATCTTCGAGTTTTTGCTGTGTCACCTCTAATTATAATAAATAGCAGTATTAGTAATGGTGCAATTTAAAAATTGTTCCACTTGCAGTGGAACCCAGAGACAAAAAGTGGAGATTAGAATGAATGGAAACTAAGCCAGTAAATAGTAAATTATTGATTAAGAAAACTGACCCCAAGACCATTGAAGCCTGGCCCTGAGGCATGGTCCTTTGGCGTGTTATTTGGGTATCTTTACAAGAGTTGAAACTACAGAAGTAGGCTCACGTGTGCTTTCTGTGTTGCAGGAAACAGAGCCCGACTTTGACAACTGTGCAGTCTGTATTGAAGGGTACAAGCCCAGCGACGTGGTCCGGATCTTGCCCTGCCGGTGAGTCACCAGGATGCCTGGTGTGACTGGGGCGAGTGTGGCGAGTGCCTGCTGCCTCTGCTCAGACCTGCTAGGCCCATCTGCCCAAACGTTTCCATGTGTCACTATCAAACAACCGGAAAGCTCATTCTTTCTGTGTAACTTTTCTCCTGATCCTCTTTGCACCAAAGGAGGTATACCTCTAGGAAGTAGGACCTCATGATACAGTTTGATAGCACGGATCCCAGTACTACTTTTCTTTAATAGAAGATTTGTGGTAGAGTCCAGTCTTGATTTTACAGTGCTACTTTAATTAAATGAGTAAAATCTTTCAAATATTTTATGAATGATCAGCAGCCAGGAAATGGTCAGGATTAAGTAGGAAGCCAAAGGCAGATTCCATTTCTCTTATTTGTTTGGTTTGGAGGGGGGGTTGTTGTTTTTAGGGGGGCTGGGGTTTTTTTTGTTTTACTAACAGGAACAGAATGTGACAGTCCCCTGCCAAAACTTCTAGAATCTATAGGAGAGAGTGCCCGCAAGTGTAGCTGGAAAAGCTCCCCAGGTGATTCTCACGCAATCCTCATTCCTCTCGCTAATTGATATTTACTGTTGAGGTATCTGAATTCCTTTTATACTGTTAAAATTAAACACATTTAAATAACTTAATTAAATTATTTTAAAGTTGCCTTAAAAGCTGTCCTCCTATAATTAAAAACCTCTCTGCATCTGCTCAAGTGTCCTAAAAATAAAATTAAATTCTGCCTTGAAGAAATGGTCTTCACTTGAAAAGACTGGCTTTAAAGAATCTTAAGATACTCACATAAATAAAGTAGAAAAGTACACAAAGATAGAAAACACCCGAAGATACAACACAATCCATTTAATCATAAAACAATGCATCTTATAAAACTATTCATTAGAAATACAAAAGAAATAAAGTATGCCTTTGGAGGAATTGGTTTAATAATTTCAAAATGACAAAGAAGTTACAGAGAAAAAATCACACCCATGATACTCAAATAAATGCAGAAACCCTCAAGGGGAATGAATGGATTGTACTTGAAATGCTTTTAGGCCAATTGATCATTAGGAACCAGGCCTGAGGAAGGGCACCCTGGTGGCCCAGCCAAGGCCTTTGAGTGGGATTCCTCTCCTGGGTTTATAGATGCCTGACTGTCCCTAAGATGAAATCGTAAGTGTGGCACATAAAGACGTGGTAGTTTCCTTCATATGAGGGTACTAAACATAAATTCACTCTCTAAACATTATATGTGGCGTTTACCAGGTGACTTCTAGAAACACTGCAAAGAGTAGCAGTATGTGAACCTCAGAGAGCCTCTCAGTGTAGCATCTTTTCATCTCTGCAGATTTTACTCAGGGTTTTATATATCCTGATAGTTATAAGTAAGGAAAGTGCTTTTCTTTATTTTATTTCTTGGAGACTGTTTAGAACCTTGTCAGGCTGCTCCTAATAAAAAAATATTCAAAGCAGCCTGGTCAGTGTGCTCAGTGATTGAGCATCAACCTATGAACCAGGAGGTCACGGTTCAATTCCCGGTCAGGGCACATGCCCAGGTTTCAGGCTCAATCCCCAGTGTAGGGCACACAAGAGGCAGCCGATCAATGATTCTCTCTCATCCTTGATGCTTCTCTCTCTCCCTCTCCCTTCCTCTCTGAAATCAGTAAAAATATATATTTTTTAATGTCTAAAGCAAATTAAATAGCAACTTTTTCCTGAGACTCCAAAGAACTTTACAAATGTAATTAAGAAAATATGTTAGGGGGGTGAGGGCATGTGCTGGGGGCTGGGAGTGGCCGGGAAGAGGTCAAGGCGGCGAGCGGGGACATATGTAATACTTCAAACAATAAAGAATTAAAAAAGAAAAAAAAAAGAAAATCTGTTTTAAAAACTAGGTACAGCATTACTTTAGCTCTGTAATTCATACAGTGTAAAATACCTTGTTCATTTACAGTTCTGGCATAAGTATATTCCATGTTACTACATACGGTTACTAGAGGCTACATAATAGCCTAGTCATAGACGTACCACAATTGACTTCACCGTGTCCCTGTGTGTAACACCTGGCTGATTGCAATTTGTAATTATGACAAATTAAATGGCTTCAGCAGTATTTAGATTGTCATGATATATCAAGCCGGATCTCCTTTTACTCTAAAATATTTCGGAAATATTAACCAAGAAAAAAAATAGCATTTTAATATTTATCACACAAAAAAAATAAAACTTTAGGAACTTTCATTTGAGGCGGGTGGCGGGGGACTTTCATTTTATGTATACTAGCCCTTGCCCTAGGCTGGTTCAGTTTGGCCTCAAGCTTTCCCCTTTTACATCATTATTTGGTTCTTAGCTTATTCCTTGATTCTTTTTGCTTCAAGCTCCTTACTGTCCATCTGCTTTTATTTCCTCATTGTAGACCCTCCTTTAAATAGTGAACTGCATTGAGCATTCCCAAACATAGATTATACTTATGGCTGTTTGATCTTAGACTCGCCACATGTATTCACTCTTTGAAGAGCTCATACATTTTTTTCTATGCTGACTTTAAAATCAAGATATTTGTATGCCTGTTGCTGGGTTCTGCCAGACAGTTTGCAGTAATGGATGTTATCCAACAAAGGCACTGGCATTTGCTTTTTGCTAGGTAATTTCCTCTGGGGTATTATTAAGCCTTTGTTCCTATGAACTTCATAGACTCTCCCATTATTTCCAGGCTGACTCATACACAGAATTCTTTGCATCTCCTTGGAGTAAAAACTGTTTCCAAAATGTTCCAGTTTATTGTCTTCCTTCTCTGATACTCTTTTCTGTGGCCTCCTCGCCCCTGACACGCTGGGTATATCTCTGCTCTGTTGTTGCTGGGTGGGGTGTCTTTCCGTATCACTCAGGAATGGATGCTCTTGTACCACCATATTTTCAAAATCATTCTCTTGTTTGTTTCTTTCCTTTGTCTCTTTCGGAGACCCTTGCATGAGTAAGGAACTAATAATGATTTCCCTCCTATTTGTTGTCATGGTAATGATTAAAGTCATGCACAGACATACCTACCAGCTCCAAGAAGAGTTTTAACAACAGACCTATGCTATTCAGAATCGATTCTTGCTTTTACAAGTGCTATTTTAATTAAGTTAATAAACTCTTTTAAAATACTTTATGAATTATCATGAAAGGATCGATAGCCAAAATATGATCAGGAATGAGAAGGAAGTCAAAGGCAGACTCCATTTCCCTTGATCTTCTTCCGAACAGGAACAGAATGTGACAGCACCAACAAAACTTTGGGAATCTAGGAGAGGGTGCCAGCGTTGTGTGTGCTGTGCTTTTAATTTAGCCTTGACTTTTGTTAACAGGAGAAAATGTCAATGAAGGGATTTAGATTTTGATGCAAAAATCTAATTTATCTAACAAACGATTGGTTTTTACATATTCAATTCAAAACCTGACAAATAATGATAATGGTACGTATTTCTACTGTTATTATTATTGCTATTGCTACAGTGTAATGTGACATTACTCTTGTCATCATTATTGGAACTATTACTGTTCCTAGTACCATGGCTACATCATTATGACCTTCGATTCTTTCCCGTCTTTCTGCAGTAGTCTTCTCACTAAGCTCTCTGTTCCTACTCCTGCCCCTTAATTATTCATTCAGATAAGTCTATTTTTAACTATCTGGCTATAGACTAGATTGACTCCAAGTACTCTTCAGCAAGTACAACTTTAAATTCATTTAAGTATATCAGAATTATGACCAAAAAATTAGTTGAGGGAAGATTAATTGAAATATACTTAAGTCTTTCCATTTCTTTACATTCTACTTCTGCAACAAGGGAGATTCACAGAAAACTAAAAGCATGCATTATTACCTGTTGGCTCCTTACAAGGGGGGTTGAGTTGGCTGGTGCAGTGGCCATTGCCTTCATCCCGGATCTCTGTATGAATCACCCTTGGGAAACCTGCCATGTGTGCCTTAGTGTTTTATACTCTTCTCCATGGGGACTCGCCACAGGAGTTCATATATGGGATAACTACATTTCTCCCAAGCAAGGGAATGTTTTCATATTGTGGGTACTGAACGGTGATACTGTCCTGATTTCTTTCTATGCTTGCTCATGGGAAGCTAAAAGCCCAGTTTGTGGCCCACACACATAGCCAAAAGCTATCTTTGCGGCCTCATCCCTGACTCTGCTTTATGCCTGCATTCTTAGTTTTCTTTCTTCTTTTGCTTTTATGACCTCTTCTGGGATATCTGTATCTCCTAAGTCTTCTTAAGTCCTTTCTAGGATAAACATTTTCCATGTCTTTAAACTTTGTCAACATTGTTTTTAATTGTTTTATAATATCCCATTATAGCATAATTTATTTGATTATTTTTGGACATTTCAGTTGCCCCCCCACACACACACATACACACACACACACACACACTTTTTTGCTGTTATAAATAGGCTGTCATAAATAGCTATGTGTGTAGACCTTAGTTCACATTTTGGCATATTTCTTTTTTTCTAAGGTTAGGTATTCAAATTACCTAATTATTTTTCATAAAGTTGTACTGAAAGAGTTTTCCAGCCAGTCAGAGCTAAGAAGCATATTCCAAGGGAAGACAACTCGTGGTAACCAGGAATTGTTAGCTTATACTGCCCGTCAGGATGGCGGAGGAGCAGGCTGATTCAGATCACTTAGGACCTGATTGCCCAGCCAAGGAGCCTGGACTGTAGGCAGGTGCTGGGGGCCCTCTGAGGGGTTCAGCTTATGCCACGTGTACAGCACGCTGACACCATGTCAACGTGGCTTGAAGGGATGTGACTGGAGTAGGGAGACCAGTTAAGAGACCGTTAATCTAAAAATAAGAGGCCAAAGTGAAAGGCAAGAATCATTTATTTGCGATTAAAAGAATAATTATTCTGGAAACACTGATTTAGGCAGAAACCCAAATAGTGTCCCAAAGAAGAAAGAAAAGTTAAATGCTCTTAGAGTAAAAAGTACATTCTTGAGA